GGGGGGGGGGGGGGAAACAACTTTTCGTAGAAATGGAATAGAATTCTAAAAAATCAATATTTTTCGGTCGGAAAACTCTGTTTCTATTCATAAGACTCCCAATGCACAATTATTTATTTAACAATTCTTTCAATAGTAACTATTTATAGGCCCGCCAAAACCTCCAGAAAATGCCAGAAAATGCTATCGGGGGTTAAATAAAAAATCTTTGGTATTAAAATATGGCTAAATAAACCATTTGGTATTGTTATTGGAAGTCTTCTGAAGAGAACCAGATTTTTCCGATCGAAAATATTAATTTTTAAGAATTCTATACCATAACTACGAAAAGTTGTTTCTTCCCCATATAAAATACATGCGAAAATTTGAGCGCTTTGAACGACCTCAAAATATTTTTTGATTTCAAAATAAAAATAGGGGTATATTTTTCGATAGAGAACAATCCTAGGGGGTGAGAGCATTAAAATTCCGACTTTACTCATTTTGAACCACCCTAATGTACATACAAATAAATACATATGTACCCATACACATATATGCATGTATGTATAAACAAATGTTCATCAGTTCATGTTTTACTAATAATTCGAAAAGGCGTTTCCAAATCATCATGCAATAAGTATGTACTCTTGATTTTCATACACAATTTAATGAAAATTACTTGCAACACTTGCATGCAAGTGAACCTTGGTATTTATGTATCTCTCTCGCAAATCTATCTAGGCTATACATGTTTGCATAAAATAGCTGTCAGTCAGCATACTTTAACATATGTAAATATTTATTTCTGCAATAGTACTTCAAATAAATTGCTTTTCCATTTATAGGGCAGAGTGCATCAACAAAAACAACCCAAATTCTCCGTTACCGTCGTCCGAGCGTGAGGACGAAATTGCAAATTCTTCGGCAACACTTAAAAGTGATAGCAGCAAAGTAAACCTGAACATTGTGCTATCGCATGCGATTAACTACAGACCACCAAACGGCAACGAGTCCAACAACAGCGATATTGACAGTTGTTCCGAAGGCGCTGAGGGCAACGTAAGAAAAATTTAAATTTTTAATTTAAAATTTTCAAATTTTTACGTATTTTTTTACGCATTCACGGCGCAGCGTATAAACAAGTCTTCAGTGCGCACCTTGCGCACCGATTTGCCTGCTAGAGTTAATATAGCCGCAATTTCGCCATCTGCCACCACAACTACTTCGACGACTGCAACTGTAAGTGCCAATGCCACTATTCAACAACGTCGCGCACAATTTCGTACGAGTCGCAATCTCTCCATAAATACTAGCACCACAACAAGAAGCGTGCCACCAGCAGCATCGAGTAGTAATACCGCTTTGTCGATTAATCAAAACGATTTAATTGTCGCATCCGCGACTTCCAATAACACTGCTGCTGGTGGCACTTTAAACGTCTCACCATCTCTAATTGTACAACGTCGTCCGCCCTTGGTGCGTGCTATGTCCGCGCCAGTACGCTCACGTTCGCTCGACGAGAATACCAAAGGTGTGCTGGCGTTTCAGAAACGCAAATTGCGGCGCCGTAAACTAATTTCGCGCAACCCAAGTCTTTGCGAAAAGTCTGAAATAAGTGCTGGTGAGGCAGATAAAAATGATGTACTCTTCGATTTGAATGCACCTAGCGGAAAGAAGCAACCGATATCACGTACGCGTTCCACGCTAGCGGTCGATGTAATCACATTGGTCTCACTGGTTAGCTCTGAGGGTAGCGATTCGGAAAAGGAAGATTCTGCACCGGAAACCGGACGTAGCAATGCGGAACGTTCACGCAGCACTGGCATGCCATCACTACGAAAAACTGGCAAATCAGGTGGGTTAGAAACAATAATATTAGTGCATAACCATGTAATGTGCTAGTGATGAGCGAATTCGATTGTAAGCACCACTACACATTTACTGCATTTGTTGTAATCTTATTTCTGTTTTCCTTTTACTACCATCAGTTTCTTTCCAAGAGAACTATCCTCCAAACTTTCAACTAGCCACAAAGGAATATTCGCATATGATACGACGCGGCTCGATTGCTCCCTTGGCTGCACGTTTACGTTCCAATCGACCGCCAACAGCTCCACCAGTTTCAATCTTCATGACTGATTCGACCGCTAACGCTACCGCTAATGCAATGACTACAATAACAGGTAATAATTTTGAAAATAACAGTGGCGGCGACGCAAACGCAAACACTTGCATTGAAGGCTCGCAAAGCTCGAACAATATCACCGAACCCACATGTGATGTTAAACTAAATACAGAGGAATATGTTTACCCCGATTATGTGCGCAGTTTGAAGGAACGTGAATGTTGGAAGTTATATCGGAAAATGTCCGTTAAAGGCGTTACAGTTTCATATGACACTGTGCTGCGCGGCATGTTGACACCGACTGAGTTTCGGCAAATACAGAAACAACGTGAAATAGAAGAAGCTAAAGCACGCGCATTAGAGGAGGAAAAGGAGGCTGGCTTAGAGCAAACGCCCCCAACGTCGGCTGTAGATCGTTTAACGCAGAAATTGTTGAAAAAGTAGTTGAAAATGTTAAAATGTTATGTACTTAGTGTTTTAGAAACATAATTATTCAAAGGATGGCTATTGAGAAAGCATTCCTCGATTTCCGTGCTGAAATTAGGAAAATTAATTTTTGGATACCGCATATCGAAAGTAGTTTTAGATTCACCCACATACTTAGTTAAATTGTTCCACCGTGTAGGCTAAAGCTTTGTTACAATGAGCATTTTTTAATAAACTTCACCGGAGTGCGCTTTCTTAGACCACTTAAATTAAGAGTTTTTCTTTGGTACACAATTAGGGGTTCAAACTGTGGTAAGTGAAATCGGAGAATACAGTTCTATTTGGATGGATACCGAGATATGATGGACATGACGGCAAAAAGCAGGATAACTGCCTAGCGAACAAGGAGCCATTGCAGTATATCATGGCCCGGAAATCCTTTGGCGGGCTTACCAAAGCACACATAAAGGGGAAAACATGTCCAAGAGAAACTGAATGGAATGTTCAGGGCAGAGAGAGGTCAAAAGATGTATCTGCCCTTCAAAAGAATCATCAACGAAACTACTTAATTTAGGGAGAGAGGACTTTAAACTTGCACTGTGTACTACACGGGACACTATTCCCTTCGTTACCACCACAATAAAATAATAATTTCTAAAACAAAGGTCTTCCGCTTTTGTGTGTTGGACGAGGAAACGCCAGAAAATATTTTTCGTGAATGCGACGCTTTTACTAGGCGCAGACTACCTCACTTGTGTGGTGCTACACTAAATCCGTTTGAAATATGGAACAAAATGCCCTTGAAAGTGCTAGGCTAGATCAAAATCGTTCCCATATGGGGCGGAGGGTAGCGCACAATAGATCACTTTAAAGGTCGCGGTGCATAGGACCCATTATAATAATAATAATAAGCACATACTCCTTGTATCTCTAGTGAGTCAGTTTGGAATATGAGGTCATCGAGAAATTAAAATTATATTTCTCTGGGCTGTCAACTCATTCAGATGCTTTAAGACTCCGGATCATCGTCGCTTGGCGCGCAATACCTCGTATCCCCCAAAGGTAATACCACGTATAAGACAGTCTGAAAATTTCGAAGACCAGCGAAAAAAAATATTTTCTTCAAAACGTTTGAATGGTTTGCTAACTAAACTTACTAAATATGAGCTTCTACTATAATTGTTTACGTTGTATTGCATTTGGCAGATATGGGTATTGCGCGACAAGCGACTATATGATATCTCACGAAAAGTCGAACTACGACAGACAGGCCTTGGTATAAATGTGGGTAGTTTCGGTTACGTAGACCCGACTGGGGTGGGAATCACCTTTCGATTCTCCTGGCTGGGAGTAATGGTGTATTCGGATATCCGTTTATTTTACTATCTGGATATCGGGTTAATATCCGTTCATTTTGCGACCCGGATATTAGGATTTTTAATTCCGATAACCGAATATCAGAATATTCAAATAAACCTGATAGAACTAACAGCCCTACTTCACTCCCAATCCTTAAATATCCAAGTAAACCTGTATTATTATACGCAGCCATATAACCTAACCAAACTTCTCCCCTCCATAAAATTAAAGCGTGTTTGGCAATAGGTTTGGTTTTGTAGATAGCGATTTACCAGAAAGTACCAGGTCTACCGAGCTTAGCCCGGAGTGCATATACTTTTTAAAATTTTCAAGATTTGGATGGCTTTAAAAAAAATTTTGAAACTAAATAAAAAAAATAGGATTGCGATATCTATTAAGTAAATTTCCTACTCTAAAAGTTATGTGGCAACCCTATTCCGAAATACGCTGGAATGAATGTTACATATCTTGAGCGTATATGTGCTGTGTATACATAAAAAAATGTTGATTGAAATTAACAAAATAAAAATTTGTAATACATATGTAGGAGCGTGGCAACCCTGATGGAAAATATTTTCTGACCAAAGTTCTCAACAATACCTTTCATTTCATATCCACATTGCGATGTTTGATAAATTTTGTAGAATCGAAAATAAGTGGCAACCTAGATTTATCCTAAGAGATACAATTTTGTATATAGGGAAAGCATTGCTTAAGAACCTTCTCTTGGTATCAATGACTAATATTTCACATTTTGAAAATAAGTTGCAACCCTATTAAAAATATATTTGAATTAAGGATCTTTAAAATACCCTCCATTTGATACCTATATTATGATGTTTTAATTAATTTGTAACTAATTTTAAATAGGTGGCAACCTTATACGAGTCTTCTCATTTCATAAAAATCATGACAAATTCAATGCCATATATTTTCAAATGGGCTAAATAAGTACATATACGTAGATACACGCACCAAACGACTTATGTGTGTATGTATAACAAAATAGGTTTGCGGTCCTATACTATACAAGCGTACCTAATTAGCGAATTTCCCAGCATCACTGCCTAAAACCTATTTGTGGAGTTTGTATTAGAGTCCGACCGATTAATCGGCTTTGGCTAGAATCGGCCAAAAGAATCGGCAAATGTCGTTTATGGCCGCTTCTTAGCCGATTCCTTTTGCTTTTGCCGCACTTCAGTCCATGTTGTTTATTTTGTACGCTTTTAATTCCTTTAAAATTTAAAATATTAATGCATCTGAGATCCCTTGATAACAACATTACAAGGTAAATTCATTCTCTCAATTCTCAATTTAAAATCATATAAAATTTAAAATAAAAAAATTAAATTGTTCACAATTGTTGTTGCTTGCGATTGAAAATAAGAATGTGTATGTGAGTTTGAGTTTTGAATTTCTAAATTATATAGCTGGCAAACGTCAGGCTGCCTCTCAAGGGTTTTACCTTGTTATGTTTGTATCATGTGAGATCCCTTCCACAAAAAAATTGCCAAAAACAATGATAAGCCCTTCGTAAATAAAACTGAATGTGCTACAAATGAATTCCTATATCCTTCGGGTACTTTTCACTGTATTGTTTAATTGTCCACGTTACAAAAATACTTTCATCATTATTTTAAAATCTACGGTTACTGTTTATTAACACATTGTATTCAATACCATGATACAAAAAAAGAAGGTAGTTTCAATAAACAACTTTTTGATTAAAAAGCAGTTTTTTGACAATTGCTCAATTGTGAAAAATTCGAAGCGGCGTTACCCAATTGTAAGTTTTTTGGTGTGGGAGATTTTATATTCTTAATTTGGGATTATAAATAAAATAGTTGTGTTAATATTTACCTTTTAATAATAATGAATACCTTATCTTAAAAACGTTTAAATTTTACATTAAATTCGATAAAAACTTGCCAAATCATTATTTTAATATTAATACAATTTTAGTGAACATATTTTAAAACTTTTTTAGTGTCCTCATGATCATCTGATTATTTCACAATGTAGTTTTCTATATCGGATACGATGATTCTGATATAATTCAGACACTGAAATTATACATTTCGATCTGTTATTTAATACATATTGTCTTTGTCCATTTAACAGCAAATGGAATTTACTTTGGGATCCATGGGCCGCGAAATTTTTCCAGCAACACATATTGTTTTCACATGAAGTTTTGAAACACACAAAAGTGAAGTATAAAATAAATAGATAAAAACAAATTTTCAATCAAACTGATTTGTGTAGTTCAGGGGCGTCCTTAGTAAATGTTTTGGAGGCTGTTTTAATATATCCTATCTTATTATATATTTCTTAGCTTTTCTACATTCTGATAAGTTGAGAGAATGAAGTCTAATATTCTTTTTTGGTCAACTACGACGTTTGATTTCATTTTTTGCAATCATTAGTTCATTTCCTTTGAGGAGTCACAATGCCCATACCGGCTATGTCGATTTTTTTGAAATTTCGGACACAAATCTTCCAAGAATGGTTATAGGCTAAAACAAAACCGTTATCTAAAGGGGGTGTGGAACCTCCCATACAAATCGAATTTTTCATAGTGCATATCTCTGGAAGTATTTATGGTAGAGTTCTGGACCTTGGTATGGATATATGTATGTATGTGAAGTCAATCTCAAGCTCGTGAAAAAATATGGGTTTGTTGGAAAATGCAGCGTGCCACCGTAGAACTTGGAAAAGAGGTAAATGAAATCAATCCCAAACCTATGAAAAATGGGGGTATATGAAAACGATCTCGTAGCCAGCTACGAGAGCTCGCGGTATAAGCCATATAAACTAAAATTCTGGTGATGCATAGATACCTCTGGAAGCATTTACCTAGCATACTGAGATGAGCCATTTTTCCAATGGAAATATGTACAGAAAAACGGGCGCGAAACCTTCTGGAAAGTAACATCATCACAGGGTGTATCCCTAGAACCATGTTAAGCTAAACCTTGAGGGATTACATTCTTGTCAAGACCGACAGGCATAAGCTGAAATTGCGTCGCAAGATTTACGATCGGCTTGGGTAAGGTTTAACCACTTAACCCCCCTTTGTTTTCGCCGCTACTGAATTCTATAAACTGTCAGCTTTCACACAATTTAAAATGTACATGTGTATTTAAAAATGTCATGAAAATTGTGTTGCTAGCTTCATTTTGCAAAAATGTTGCAAGTTTTTTCACAGCGTGAACAGAATAGTACTTTGCTGAGGAAATGTTGTCGAATTTCACACCTGTTTCACAGAAAGAAGTTTTATATGCAATTTAACAGCTTTTCACGTGAAATAGGAATAAAATACTATGCTTAAGAACAAAGATTTTTAAATCGACAAAAAATTAATAAGAAAATTTGAAGTATTTTAGATTTTGGGTATGGTAGCACGAAATGTCACAATCTGCTTAATTGTCAGGTTGTTAATATGGCGACGGAAAAGTGACAATGGAACTACCTTGTTTTTTGTATCATGTTCAATACAACACATTTATCGCACACCGTCTTCAAAAGAGTCACAACTGAAAATTTGGAATTTTTGAAATTATGCGCTAAAAATGTACACAAAGCTGGAACAAATTTTTGTTGTAATTTGTTACAAAAAAACCCTAATGTAAAGTCGCTCTTCCCCATATGATTAGCATGTGCTACGAAGTGGTTTTTCGCATTTTCCGACGAACGTATTATTTTGAGTTGAAGACGGTGTGCGATATTTTTACTACTATGAGTACAATCAGGAAATGTGGTTTCGAATGAACTATTTATTTTACGTAGAATAAGAAAAAGACTATGGATGAAAGTATAGCAATGAAATGTATGCATAAGCGATATACTACTTTCAAAAAATTTGTATGTATGTAAATAAATAAGTGATTAGATTCTTGAGTGATTATTTGTGTGTGTTTATTATGATTATTTATGTTTTTCCTTTGTTATTATAAAAGTTTATCAAAAACATTTCTTCTTTTTAAGGAATCGGCATCGGCTACAAATCGGGAATCGGTCGGACTCTATGTAGTTTGTATGCTGTTACAACAACAACAACAACAACAACAACAACAACAACAACAACAACAACAGGCAATTACCCAAAAATAAAATTATATTAACAAAAAGTGCACTATGGGTTCACTATTCAGGCAGCCATATCAAATTTACCTCGTTCTTCTATGTATTTCATGTAAAATTCAGTCTTATCGCCTACTCCATGGGAATAAACCGTTTCCGTAATTTAACAGGCACAGCAAAAACAAATTGGGAGACATAATAGGTATTCACTAAATTGCGCGAGTGGCAATTTGGTGAATGCTTTTGTTGTGTGAATATCTGCTCACATGGATTTCGCATTAAGGCCGACTATTTATTTCTACGTGTGTACATACATACTCACCGTCAAGCAAAACTCTTCACCTTGCACGGATACGCCGTTAAAATCCATAACACTTTCGCCAGAATTCCGTTTCCGTTTTTGCAATATCGTAAAAGCAACCTTGGCTGCTATCGTTAATCGATTACAAATGACAATCAGCTGGTGCTTGTTTTTTGTTTTGTACAGAAATAAGCAATCGTATTCATTTGCACAAAAAACAATTCAGTTTCCAAATATGTGCGAAAACTTGATAAGATAAAATAAATAACCATTCTAAGTTCGTGTTTTTCGTGAAGCTCAGCACACCAGTGCAATTATTTATAAACTATTACGCAAATGGTTACCGGGCAAAATATAGTCCCAAGCCAGAATAGTTACTAATAACCACTCGCTTACCAGCTCTTATAATGTGGATAATCAACGCTATTGTGGTGCATTTACTTCTACTTGGCTCCATATTTGTGATATATTTTCGTTCACCAATCATAACGGGTTTGACGCCCCAACATCCTATATCATTGGAGCCACCAGCAAAGCGACTGGTGCTGATTGTGACTGATGGTTTGCGTGCGGAGTCGTTTTTTCGAAATGGCTGCAACGATATACCTCATTTAAGCCAGCTTATGTTGAAGACAAATGGCTTAGTTGGAGTTTCGCACACGCGAGTGCCAACTGAATCGCGACCAGGTCACATTGCACTTATCGCTGGCCTATACGAAGATCCATCAGCAGTAACACGTGGCTGGAAGCGTAATCCTGTAAATTTTGATAGTGTATTCAATCGCAGTAGCTACACATACGCTTGGGGTGCTGCAGATGTATTGCATATCTTTTCAAGTATGGGTGGCGTGGAAAGCGAGAAACGTTTACTAATTGACGCATATGATCACGAGCTCGATTTCTCCGGTCGTGATGAAACTTATAAACTAGATGAATGGGTGTTTAAACGTGTTCGTCAGCTACTATCTCGAAAGGACGTGGAATTAAGGAGGCAAGAAAAAGTAATTTTCTTCTTACATCTCCTGGGTCTGGACACGGCTGGTCATGTGCATAAGCCTGGTACGCCAAACTTTCTAGAAAATTTACACCGCACTGATAAAGGTATATCCGAAATTTATAAGGAATTTGAGCGTATATTCCCTGACAACCGTACAGCTTACGTGTTGACCTCTGATCATGGCATGACAAATTCAGGTAAGTGAGATAAATTTAGGGTAAAATTAAGTTATTTACTTAAAAAATTGCATTCTCTATAGGTTCACATGGCTCGAGCGACACTTTCGAAACTGAAACCCCTTTCTTCCTTTGGGGCGCTGGCATTGCCAGCAATGTCAGCTATGACATCGAGTTTACTATTGGCGAGGATACAACGCGGCCTCTCTATGCTATACAACAGGCGCAGTTAACACCATTAATGGCAGCTCTGATTGGAGTTGCACCACCTGTTAACAGCATTGGCATGATACCGTTGCAGTTCCTAAATGCGTCAGATGAATATAAAGCGCACGCCATACATACCAATGCACTTCAGCTTTTGGCACAGTTCCAGGCATTGTTAATCGCACACCAGCGTGGACTATTTTCGCGTAACCTACTAGGATATAGCAAACTTAATGCTGAAATAATAACCCAATATATAGAAAGTACGGAGCACAAACTGCAAAGTGGTCAATTCGCGGAAGCCATTTTCACGAGTTATAACGTTATGCAACACACATTGGAAGGCATGGAGTACTATCAGGGTTACTACCGCAAGCCATTACAGATAAGTACAGCTGCTACATTTATTTTTTGGATTATATATTGTTTGCAATTGCTGCTGGGTCAGCAACGTCGAGTTAAACGTTTTTATTGGCGCTGGTCACTAACAATCGGTCAGAAACTAAGTTTGCTGCTAGCCTGCGTATTTCTACTACTGCAACGTGTTCCAATGGTCATAGCTTTCTATCTATTACTACCTTTATTGGTTTGGATATTGCTGGTGCAGAAGCAAGGTGTTTCCTTACTGCCGCTCATACGTGCAATGCCTCTATTTCAATTATTAGCGCTCATTTTATGCGCCGAATTGTTTGTTTACAGTTTTTTTGAGCGCAAACTAATTGCATTGAGTTTTTTAATTTACAGTCTAGTAATAAATTTTCGCGCATTCCCTGGTAATAATGCAAAGCTTTACATATGGTTGCCATTAAGTGTGTGTTTAGCGATATTTCCGCTGCTACCACCATCAGTTGGCTATGCAAACACATGGTTGCTGCTGTTGGGCATGTTTGCAACGATGATTCGTCCCTTTGTTGTTAAATCTCATGTGCATTGGCATATCAAATTACCAGCCATGGTGTGTATTATCAATGCGCTCTTGGCCAGCTTCTGGCACGCGCAGCAACGCGGTGTACCGCTATTATCACAAGCACTTTCATGGCTATTTCTTATCTACACACTTTCAGTAATAATTCTTTATAGAACGTCGGTATTAAAGCAACGCATTGAGCTTATATTCTACTTACTAACTTCGCTTTACGCGCTACTCTGCACTTCGTATGAGTCACTTTTCATAGTGATGCTTGCATCGGAGCTAATGCTTACACTATCAGTACAGCCAATACAACTGCCTATAGCACACAAATTAGAGGAGCAGTTTTCAAAGGATAAAATGCGGCATGTGGTTAGCTCGCCGCAGCAGCTGCAAGTTGCTCTACGACTTTCTTTTAGCATACTGCTATACACACTGTTCTCTTTTTTCGGCACTGGCAATATTGCATCCGTAAGTTCATTCGACCCAAACATTGTGCGATGCTTCTTGAGCACCTTTTCGCCATTCATCATTATGGCGTTGGTGATTTTGAAATTAGTCATACCTGTATTGTTAAATATATCGATCATATTTGGTATGTCACGATTTGCGCGCGACAACGAACAAACAATTTTCGTTTGTTTAATGCTAATATGTGATGTAATGGGGTTGAATTTTCTATTTCTGGTACGAAATGAAGGCTCATGGCTGGAAATCGGTACTTCGATATCACACTTTGTCATTATGGAAGTGACAACAGTGGTGCTGGTGATTTTCACTTATTTTGCTAAGCTGCTGCTGCGTTTAAATGAAAAGGCGCGAAATGAGGAGTAAGAAGTGTAATTAAGTATTATTTATATACTAATAATCTTATCAGAATCTGAGTCGAATGCAACAAAAGCCGAAGCCTGAGTCAAACAAATGCTGTGCATAATATTTATTCCACATTACAAATACATTTTTGATATTTTTAAACTTAAAATAAATTAAGTATTACAGTTAGTACATACAAGACATGATTATAGCTAAGTATTCGCAAATATATGTGTATATATACTATATTTAACTTAAAACAAAGACTAAAACTATTAGCATAAAATGTAGTTTAGATCTTACACTAAGCGATAAATATTTATGTACAAAATTTGAGTGTAAAATACATGCTCCGAACTGCCTGCATGGTATGATTACTTATGGAGATTGGTTTTATTCTTACTTACAATCAAGCTCACAACTAACATAAATGTTTTTCATTTAAATTTCAGTAAAAACATGAATACATGCATACATGCATAAATACATAGTATGTGTATTTTTTTAGGAGTAACACTATCATCACTATCACGGAAAATGCAATTTTAAAATAAAGCAAAATACCAGCCCACGAAAGAGTGTTATCTTAAAATTAAATTAAAGAGTAAATATATTTAAAAACAAAACAAAATGAAATAAAAAAAAACATATTAAAAGTAAAAAAGCAAAATGAGTTCCACTAATCGTATCACCCAACTCGCATGAGGGCTACTGCATCTACCTTATTCCTTGAGATAATGTTCAAGTGGATTGGAACCAGTTAGCTTCAGCGGCTTCGACGTTATAGATTCGTCTGTAAGAAAAATTAAAATGTTCCATCATAGAAATGCATGTAAGCATAGCGACTATCAACTTACTGGCTTCCGTGGAACTGCGTTGAGAAGTAGACTGCACCTCAATACGTTGCGTTTGCAGACAATTCAACCATTCGGTAAGCGTAATTTTCTTATCACTATTTACATCACAGTATCGGGGCATCTTTTTGCCGCACTTACGTAAGGTTCTAGAATTAACATTAAAATTTATTTATTAGGTGCTTGAATTAGTATGGCAATAACATTTAATTATTCTATGCACTTATTGGGAAGGACTTACTTCGTACTAGTTACCATTTCTCGAAATGTCTTCCACTCTTTACGCTCCCAAGATTTATTCTTGTTCTTATCGAGCAAAACAAAACTTAACGTCGCAATGCGTTCGTCCTCAGAATTCCATTTCGTTGTGTTACCGCTGTGAGGAACAAATATGTTCATATATGTATTTTTTTGCATTGAAGGATTAGTATTTATAAATTAGGACTTAAAGCTTTAAAAATCACTATTAAGTACCAAAGAGCGCTTCTCTTATCTGAAAAACATAGCTTTCTTGACGACGTGGAGCATTTGCTAAAAGCAGAGCGTCTTTGGGATCACAAAGCGCGACGACAGAGTGGAAATCTCTTTCAATGACCGCGCTTTTTCGGACCCGGAGCGATGCGCGAGCTTTTTAGCCCACAATTTACGCGACATCTTTCGGTGGGCAAAGCCAAATGACCAGAAGCCTGCACAAATAGCCACAACCCAGTGCGCCTCTCACCAGCTCTCTCAGATAACTCGCGCCCTAAAACGAAACCACCACTGTGAGAGAACAAAGGCACCGTCAGTCAGTCCACGTTACTAGAAGACATTGAGGCTTCCTCTCGCCTACAGGGACTCAAACGGTGGTCAGCGAATTATCTGAGATCGACATTCATCAGTAATCTTTTAGAGATAAAACCAGCAAACCAAGAAAAATTTAACGATGTCCTTTAACCGCTTCTCGGCAACTCCTTTTAACACCTCAGACTACAGCTGGGAGTTCACGTCCGTTTATACAAGTTTTACGCTTTCCCAATCCGAAATCTACCAGAAATCGCGGACAACCCGAAAACGATGATTAAAAAAAAGATTTTGAAAGAGATTACTACAACCACAAAAGACACCATCTGCAAGCTACTAACTACCGCCTCAAATCAACTGACCTAACACATTTTTAGACGGTCTCAACAGCTTGGAACAACTACAAAAATTATGTGAAACGCTCCGAGACTACTTCATTTCGTTAATTTTTCATCCTCATATCTTCTTACCCTGAAATTGCACTTGCCACAATATGCGTCTTCAAGAATTCTTTGAGATCGTTCAAAAACATCGTTTTTCTCGGCTCGGGACAGCCTTTCATGGGACGGGGCGCTGCATAAATGGTATCACATTGCGGTCGCTTGTCCTTCACCGATGTGCCGGGTATATTTTTGCCTGTATCCTCATGTACACACCAACAATACGGTGTGGAGCGATAGCATTGCACACGCTGATAACGTCCGTCCGCAGTGCATTCGGGCACATAGAATAACGTGCCGCCGTGCTAAAAAAACAAAAACAGGAAGAGGTTGCAATTGTAATTTTACCTTCTAAGTGGACTGTATGTACATATTTAAGGTTGAAAATCGTGGAGGTGGAGAGCTTAGTTGTGGTATAAACAAATATTTTAATTTTTTTATTAAAATTTACATAGTTTATGACCGGGTCGAGCACAAACTGACATACATATTTTGCATTTATCGCGAAACGTGCAGAATGATGAACAAGAACTCTTTCCAACTGAAATTCTTCATCTCCATGATTTTGATCCTTAAAAACTTACTCGTTGCTCCTCGAGCGCTGCCTTCTGATCAGCCAAACAATCGGATTCGCTATCGGATTCATTCATTTGTGTATCGGGGTTCGGTCGTAAGTCTATAAAACATTTAGGTGCTTTGTTGGAGTTTTTTTCAGTATGATTTGTTAATTATAATTTTTGGGTTTATTACACTGTTCGGCAAAAATCTGGATTATACGAAAAGTATCGAAAAGTAATTTCTCAGTTTTCCCAGGTTGGCGAACAGAGCAGCAAGTAGGTTTAAATGCAAATAAATATTCATACGATTAAAAAGCCTTTGTGTGGGTTTTCGGGTACGGAGAATCTGACGTTAAACGGCCACTGGGTGCGCATTGGAGCAAAAAAAAACATGAAGAAAAATTTTTGAGAAAGATTCTTTGTACTTTTCCTTAATGTTCCTTCCATGTCCTTCGCATCAAAGCGCACCCTAGCGACAGTTTTTGGTCAAAAACAAAGTACGAATTCAGATTTCTCGGAACGCAAAACTCATGGGGGGTTAATTGTTTTAAATCAGGGACCGATAGCAAAAGGTGTGATCAAACCTAAATGTTGCTCTGGTAGTTTTGTTCCCATGTCGATTCAAAACCAAAACCAAAATGAGAACAAAACTGTTGAGAACGTTCCCAATGGGAATTTTATAAGAAAAAAAAAACCCTGCGGAACGCATCCAAAGAGAACAAAATTCAAACAATATTTTCGGGAACATTTCTAAGGGAACAAAATGGGAGCAAAGGTCTTCGAAACGCTTTGGAAATAAAATAAACGGGAACAAAAGTCTAAGAAACTTTCTCTCGAATAATAATTTGGGAACTAAAGTCTCTGGAACTTTCAAACATAGAAGGAAACGGGAAAAAATCTCCTCTGAAATATTCGCGAAGAATGGAAGCGAGAACAAAATTTTTTGCATAGCGTTCACTAGTTTGAAATGTTTAAATATTAAAATTAATGAAAAAGAACAAAGATAATATGGAAAAACGAAGGACTTAAGGAACGAACTTTTCTTGCACGGAAAATGAAAAAAATGTTCCATAAACGGACAGTTGAGTTGATTCTTTAGTGGGGACGTTCGTGAAACACGCTTTGTTCTCATGCAGAACCAAAACCAAATCTGGAACGCGTTCTCGGCCCCTATTTTAAATGTTGCTCTCAGACCGCCAAATTCCATTTAAAAAAATTCTTAAAATCGCCAACATGGAAAAATTGAGACATTGCTTTGCTATATACAATCCAAACTTTCAGAAAAACTTGGTTTCATCAAATCACCACACAAGAAAGTGAAAATGCCGTACAGTGTTATTGTTAGGGGATGTTTGTTTTTATAGAATTGTAAACATGCATGCATGCGTATTTTAATGAAAGCCGACAGCAGCAAGACAAGATGTGAATAACTACACTTACATAAAATATAAATATCTACCCATGTATGAAGTGCAATAATGTCTACAATGAATGATATGTTAGTTTCTATGTATTTAGTAAAAACTGTCACGCAGAATATTACATTTTTAAAACAAACCAATTTTTTCGGTTTGGAAAAGCGGGTTGCACAAATTAGATACATCGGGACATACAGGAAATAAGTTTCGGACTATATGTTTACTAGGGTGGTTTTTAAAATATCAGTGTCATGGGGCACCCCTTTAGTTTGTTCTACGTATAAAATAAAAATATCCGCCTATACTTTCAAAGTTTAAACAAACTTTTAGGTTTGAAAAAATTTACATATTTTTTTTTTTACCACAAAAATTAGAAAAGTTGAGTTTGACCAGCCATAATTCAGCGAATTTATTTATGAATTTATAAGAACTAGTGTTCGCCCAGCGGTTGAAATTCAACCGATAAAATTAAGGATAGTTTATGTAAGTTGAATGAGCTAAAATAACATTAGTTGGAATGGGTTAAGTGGAGGGGAGTTTAGCTTAGTACTTGGCATAACATAACNGCCTGCACATCAGCATCAAAATACCTTTCTAATGATATATAACTGTTTATACCTTAGAAGTATAGTTTAGCCGTAAAAGGGGTGTAAAGGAAACATGATTGCCTATTTATATAAGAATATGCTTTAATACACTGAGTCATAGCTGGTCAAAGTTAAAATGTTGTAGAATTTTTGCGATTTAAAAAAAAAATTAAAGCCTGGTAGCGACCCTAGTTTTTAGTTTTTTTATCTTTAAATTCTTTGTGGATGTTTTTATTTTGTACGTAGAAAAAAAAGGGTTGCCACATAAAAAATGTGGATGTTGACTTTCTAAAGGACCATCCTAATGCATATTATATCAGCTAAATGAAATCTACACTCATATAAAGTACTAACGGTACGTACAATGTATAGTTGATGAATTAAGCATGCTTAGCGCGTCATTATCTTCGCCCTCATCGGGATCATAATCATCCTCTTCATAGTCCAAACGTTGGCTACTCTCATCGTCATCACCATTACTTTCGCTATCCAATTCGTCCAGTGCACTTGAGGCATGATGATGTATATTATTGAGATTATCATTTCTATTAAGGTTATAGTTGTTGTTGTTGTTGTTGCTATTGCTATATGTATTATGATTTGGTTGATGATTATTCAAATGAATCTGTTGTGGATGATGATTGAAGGGCGCGGGCAATGCGTGACGATTATTAATATTGTTGTTGCCGTTGCCGTTGCCGTTGCCGTTGCTGTTGGCGTTGTGTTTATTATTTTGTTGCTGT